AAACTGAGTAAACGAGATCATCTTCATTTGGTAATTCCATCTTTCTCTCTTTCTACGATTCTTTGGCTAAAACTGATAAGTATGTGATTAGAGATCTTGCAATCAAAGAGACAGATTCTTAAATGAGGAATCCTCTTTCTTGCTGTGCAAGTTATGATTTAGGTCAATTGCTCTGTTATTTGGAAATTAGAAAATTGAACATCTCTCCCTCTCTCTGTTTTTGCTTTTCCAAAGTTTCCATTAGGCTACAGATTGTGGCGTCACACCAAAGAAGAAGCTGCGAAAGGAAGAGTAAGAGTTTTCTTTAGTACTCACAAACATTTGATGACCTTTGTTTTCATCAAATGCTGAAAACTTCTTGAAACATGCAGGCTTCGATCTTCGACATCTTCAGAAAACATCATATAACGGGAGATCATGGCGTCCCTTTAGGAGGAATTGGGTATGGAATTCACATAAATCTTAGAACACAAAATTACCATGGTCTAAAGGTTTAAGATACTTTGTTGCAATGTTCTAATGTACAAAACCGCGGGCAAAATACCGTGTTTCAGAGGAGGAAGCATTGGAAGGAGTTACAAGGGTGAGTTTCAGCAGTTCAAGTTATTCCCAAAAATTTGTGAGGAAGCTCCTATCCTCACAAACCAATTCTCTGTAAGTAAACAAATTAAGGAAAACATTTTGGTTTCTCTGTTTAATAGCTTTGTAAGTATCCTTCTCATACTTTTTGATTTGTTTATTTTGTAGGTTTTTGTTTCTCGCCCGGGCGGTGTGAAACATTCAACGGTTCTATGCCCAACAAAGCCAGAAGTGATTAAGTAAGCTAGATAATTTTCTTGTGTCTTCATCAGAAAGAAACAGAGTGGATGTGCAAAATGATCTTAATTATGGTATTGAATATGATTGTGCAGAGACAATGGAGGTTACTTGTGCAGAGGCCAAGATCCAAATATGGGAATTGAGTCTTGGGACTGGAACATGACAGGTGAAAAATCTACCTACCATGCTCTTTATCCGAGGTCTTGGACCGTTTACGAAGGTATAATATTCGTCCTAAATGTATCTATTAATCTATTGCACAATTTATTGATTTGTAAAAGGTTATGAAAATATGTTTTAAACTTGATGAACAGGTGAACCTGACCCTGAACTCAGAATAGTTTCTCGTCAAATCTCTCCCTTTATACCTCATAATTACGAGGAAAGCAGTCTTCCGGTTTCGGTTTTCAACTTCACGGTATGAATATTCTACTGCGTTTATGTCAACATTATAACTTAGGCTATACCTTGTACTGACCTGATTGAGTTCTCTCATGTTTCAGGTGACTAATACTGGAAAAGAACAAGCAGTTGTTACTTTGCTCTTTACTTGGGAGGTAACAAATCTCCGCTTGTTCATCTCCTTTAAGGAATTTTCGAAGATTGGTTTCTTCTGCATATCTTTACTCTATAAGACAATTTATTTTCTGTGGTTAATTAGAATTCTGTGGGAGGAGCTTCTGCGTTAACTGGACAGCACTTTAACTCAATAATGATGTAAGAATCTTCATCTAATGCTGCAGCAGATCTTGATATGTACTTCTTTTTACTGACATGCATGGATCTTGTTTCTTCTGTGGATTCTTCTAGGGCAAGAGATGGAGTTCATGCAGTAGCTTTACACCACAAGTAAAAACCATTTTCTCTGACTTTGATTGGTTTGGTGCTCGGTTTAGTGACACTTCTTGGAAGATATTAGAGTTGATCATTTTGTAATCAATTGTTATGTAACTTTATCTTGCAGGACAGGAAATGGACACCCACCAGTAACCTACGCAATTGCAGCAAAAGAAACCGAGGATGTTCGTGTCTCTTCGTGTCCGTGTTTCTTAGTTTCGGGTACTTCTCCTAACCAAATCACAGCAGGAGATATGTGGGATGAGATTAAAAAGGTTTGACTTTTCTTTCTACAAGTATTTTCCGATCGAAATTCGAAGAAATGTCAAAAACTTAAACCTTTTTCTATGTTTTCATCTCTTTAGAACACATCGTTCGACAAGTTAACAAGCAATGCATGCTCTCCTTCAAAACCTGGATCTTCCATTGGAGCAGCCATAGCAGCAAAAGTGAAAGTTCCACCGGGTTGTGACCGTACAGTCACGTTTTCTCTCTCTTGGGATTGTCCCGAGGCGAGATTCGACGAAAAGACTTACCACAGGTGTGTGTATGCTTATGACCCCATTTGACTTCAGTCCAATATACATTTTCAGCATATAATCTTTGTTTCTAACTTAAAAGGTTTCTACTTATATAGACGATACACAAGATTCTACGGCGGGTTAGGAAACGCAGCAGTAGCAATGGCTCGCGACGCTCTACTTAGTATGCAAACAATTCATTTTTATTTTATCTTACTTCTAACAAAATTAAGAGATCATCATCTTATGATGCTTTCTCTATTTGTTATTAGACTTTCCTGAATGGGAGACTCAGATTGAAGAGTGGCAAGCTCCTATTCTTGCTGACACAACACTTCCTGAGTGGTAATAACTTTTGCTTTAACTCTGTTTGCTTCTTTGCCATATTCAAGGAAAGTAATCAATCAGGAACCTTTTCAGGTATCGAAAAACTCTCTTCAACGAACTATACTATTTTAACTCAGGAGGAACCATCTGGACAGGTAACAGACATTGATTCTTTCACAAACTTATACTTGTATATAACTTTCAATCTTCTAAACCCGATTTCTCGGTTTTATTTTTTCCATTTTCTGTAGATGGTTTACCTCCGAAGCAAAGCCTAGATAGTATAGGAAGAAGAAAGATCTCTCTTGGTAATTCAGCCACAGACAATACTGATCCAGACCAGAACAACATAGCCTCAGACATCTTGGGAAGGATCGATGCGGTCTGCTCACAGATTCACGCTCCTCTATCCTCAAATGCTGCGCTCGGAACCACTCTTATTCAGAACACTGAAGAAAATATCGGGCAATTCCTTTACCTAGAAGGGATTCAGTATCTAATGTACAACACCTACGATGTTCATTTCTACTCGTCTTTCGCATTGCTTATGCTTTTCCCAAAAATCGAGCTAAGCATCCAGAGAGATTTCGCGGCTGCGGTTCTCATGCATGATTCAAGCAAGAAACAGGTCATGAGCTCCGGCCAATTCGTTACCAGAAAAGTTCTAGGAGCGGTTCCTCACGATATCGGTTTGAATGATCCGTGGTTTGAAGTCAATTCTTATAACTTGTTCAACACGGATAGGTGGAAAGACTTGAACACCAAGTTTGTTCTTCAAGTCTACAGAGATGTGGTCGCAACCGGGGACTTAAACTTTGCGAAAGCGGTTTGGCCATCGGTTTACACCGCTATCGCTTACTTAGACCAGTTTGATAAAGATGGGGACGGGATGATCGAGAACGAAGGGTTTCCAGATCAGACTTACGATGCGTGGTCTTGCTCTGGAGTTAGTGCTTATTGTGGCGGTCTCTGGGTCGCAGCTCTTCAGGCTGGATCTGCATTGGCCCTTGAAGTTGGTGACAATGGGGCTGCTGTTTATTTCAATGCCAAGTATGAGAAAGCTAGAGGCGTTTACGAGAAGCTTTGGAACGGTTCTTATTTCAATTACGATAACAGTCGAAGCGGCTCGAGCTCGTCAATCTTGGCTGATCAATTGGCGGGACAATGGTAAGTGCTAAAACAACAAGAGTAGTGCTGCGTTTGAAAGTTGAATTTTTTAGTAGATAGTCGGTTTTGAGTTTTACGTGTTGTATATAGGTATGCGAGAGCATGTGGATTGAAGCCAATAGCAAGAGAAGAGTGGATAAAGAAAGCATTGGAGACAGTCTATGACTTCAATGTGATGAAAGTGCGAGAAGGGACCCGCGGAGCTGTGAACGGAATGTTACCTGATGGAAGAGTGGACACAAGCACAATGGTGTCGAGGGAGGTTTGGGCCGGGACTACATATTCAGTCGCGGCATGTATGATTCAAGAGGGGCTTGCGGAGAAAGGGTTCAGAACAGCTAGTGGAATCTATGAGGCTGTTTGGTCCGACCAGGGTCTCGGGTAAGAGACCATCCTAAATTTATTAAAAATATTTTGTCATTTTCTCTGTTCGATTAACAAACTTTTTTTTTGCTGAGTGCAGCTGCTCGTTTCAGACACCAGAAGCATGGACCACGAACGACGAGTATAGGTCACTGTGTTACATGAGGCCTTTAGCTATATGGGGGATACAGTGGGCACACACGATGCCACAACCTATTAAAGAACCAGAACAATCGTTAAAGCCACAAGAGGAAGAGGAAACAGCTGTGATGTTTCAGCAACATGCCGGGTTTATCAAAGTCGCTCACTATCTAAAATACACTAAAGGAAACGACCGTAAAAACCGTCTCCAGAGTGCCTACGAGACCTTCCTCAAGGTAGTTCTTTAGGCCACAACCTACTTATCCAGCCTTGTTAGATATGCATAAATTTTTTTGTCTCTTTCCTGTGTTTGTTTCAATGGTTGGATATTTATTTACTTTTACAATTGTAGACAGAAGCAAATGTTAATAATCTTTCTATGTACTGTCTTGGAAGTGCAATAGCAAATGCTAACGATCTATGTATGAGAGTTCATCTACTAATTCATTTCATTAAGGACTGTATTTTTCCAAGACACAGTGAATAAGTTCAGTAAAAAAAATCTAAGGCTCTTGAACCTAAATACCGAAATGTATGTCAAAGACAAAACCTTCGAAGCAAAGAATCAGCAAAAAGGAACATAAACACCTTAAACAATAGCAGAGCATTACAGATACAGGAGAGGAACAAATTAAGGTATACTCAGATCACAGTGCCACATCTGAGTCATGCGCATTAAGATCCAACGATATTAAAAAGACATACCAAAGACATGAGGCTGTCTAAAGCAGGACGTGCAGTTTAGGAATTCAAAAGTTTACCAACTTGGCAACACTTGTGATTCTCTAGCAAGGCACATCATACTGATTTGGAGGGAACATGATTTCACTGTGCTGTTCCTGGAGCAGCTGCATAGCCTGCTGACGGAGTTGCAGATTGCTCGTAGCCCGCCTGAACAGGTGCAGTCTGGGAATAAGCGGTTTGGCCCACAGGTGCAGCATATGCTGACGCGTTTCCACCTCCATAGCTAGGATATTGAGAGCCGTATCCATAGTTCCCATTGCTCTGAGCCGGGGCACTGCCATAAGCCGGCTGTGTAGTACTACCATAAGCCGGCTGTGTAGATGGATATGAACTATAACCACCGGTTGGAGGTACTTGTCCGTACGCAGCTGAAGTTTGCTGCACGCCAGAAGCTGGCTGAACAGCATGCTGCTCATAAGCTGGGGCAATTGCGGGTGCTTGTGTACCGTTATAACCATCAGACGGTGCTGCAGAGTTGTAAGAAGGGTAAGTTTGCTGACCAGGCGCACTTGATGCATAACCATATTGTTGTTGTGGAGCCATGCTTGTACCATACGATGGCGCTGCTTGCGTTGGACCTTGGTAAGGATCACCAGAAGGTGCTGCTGGCCTTGGAGGCCCATATCCTTGCTCGGCTGATCCTTGCATCCCGTAAGGTCTACCTGGCTGCTGCATTTGGTGCTGACCACCGGCCGGCGGATAGCTCTGTTGGGAGACTCCATATCCTCCATGAGATTGCTGCATAGGAGGATTATCATAGTTTGGCTGATCATATGTATGCCCATAAGTCTGCTGGGGACCTGGCTGGGAGTAAGGAGCAACATGGGGGGGCACAGGGCCTGGGGCTTGAGCTCCTTGCCTACCGTAATACTCATATGGACCAGTATGTGGAGGTCTTTGTTCCCAACTAGATCCATATCCACTTCTAGGAGGCATATGGTGTGAAGGATAACCGCCGGAATTGGGAGGTCTGAAATGTGAGCCCTGAGATGGGTATGGTCCACCATGGTGGTAATTGTATGGCATTGAGTGGGGGCCATGAGGACCACGCGAATCCCATTGAGGTGGACCACCTAGTCCTCGGGGTTGGTAAGCAGGCTGGTTAAAACCACCAGAGTAGTGTGATGGGTGTGATGGCCTTGCATCCTACAAAAGATACAACCATGAAACCTCCATCAGAGACGACAAAGTGATAACAGCTCACACAGCTGATAGAAAGATGAACACAGAAAGTACTGCTGCTAATCTGAAACTCAAACAAACTGTGGAACAAAGCAGGTGATGACATAACACGAAATCTCTAGGTTCAAAAAAGAATCCAGAAACGGGATACGACTAAGAACATAGCAAGACAGCAAAGAATTCCATCAAAACAGGTCATATGCAGATGGCATTCAGAAACATGACGTGTGTTAATAAAAATTATTATATGCAATAAAAGAGATAACTCTATATACAATTTAGCTGTAAATAAAATTCCAAACTGTTTCAAGCTGAAGCCTCTGGGTCTACATATCACCATAGCCTATTTGAAACTGCAGTATATGCTTGAAATAAGATAATAGAGCTGATCATTTACAGCAAGCACAATGGTCTCCAGGCTCCCCTTAACTAATTCCATGGTTATTTGAGCATATCTAACGCAGTCCGAGTATTAACCAAGATCAATTCTAGATAAACTTTTAGATTTGACAAGAGCAAGCGTCATAGGCCATGAAAATCTGACTTCTAGATTTGAGCAACAGTACTGTAATATACCCATGCTTGCACTAAGGTCCTGAAGTTTTCAAACACAAAAGCAGCCTTACCGACTACTAGGACCTGCAAGTGTGAATGACAAATGCCAAATACCTTCCATCCGTAGACCTGGGTGATGTCTATTGTACACCAACAAGGCATGCTGACCCCAATTGAAGGATAGTAGCCACATCTGCATTTTTAAAGCCAACACCAATTCGAGATCGACACTTTGTAACTTGAAAAATCATGGCAAGCGACATCGAGGATGGACATATGATCTTCTTAACTAGAGATAATGAGGCTTCTTTCTTGCAATATGTACATATCAGAATATCGTTCTTATTGCAGCAGCATGAACCAAGTACTCCTTTAGGACATGAACATGCAGCTATTCACTAAATCAGGGGAGCCACCATAGATATGCACTGAACTTTTAAATTAAGACAGCAGAGCTTTTGAATATACTTGAAGCATGAAATCAGAAGGAAATAAATGAATCCATAATTAAAGTCATTATGACCCAAAAAACATAAATATAATGTGAATTAGCACAACATGAACAAAAAGATTAAGGCAATGGACCTATAATTGATCATAGGTAATAAGCTAGTTTTACAGAGATTGCATGGAGCAGAACATTAACAAACAAAAAGTGTCCAGTCCACATATAGTAAAACAGTTAGCAGGAGCAGTGAAATAACACAGATTTATCACCTCATTAACCATGTAGCTACATTGTGAAGATTAAGCCAAAACAAACATCAGGATATGACTATCAAACATCTCCTATATCAGATATATTGTGCACCAAGATGGATGAAAACAAAGCAGTTAAACACTCACATGTTTCAATTTGCATGATTACAAAGCTAAAAGCAATGACATCACTCAGAGAAATAACATCAGAGACAAACCTGGTACATAACATCCTGTATCAACGAGGTGGCTATATCAATCTGCCTTTTATCACCAGAAATACGAACTGTTCTTTCCTTAGATCCATCACCTTCATTTTGTGGTATTAACTATATGAAAAATAATTTAATTAGCTGTGACACAGTATAAGCTATATTGTCACAATTGTTCTCAGTACTCTTATAACATTCAAGACTGAATAGAGGTAAACACCTGAATACGTGCTCTCGACTTTGTCTGCATGTTCTTGATAGTCTCCCCACCTCGGCCAATAATCACACCAACCTGTCAGTTGAAGGTGGATTAGGTATCACTTAAAAATGAACAGGAAGAACAATTACCACGGAATACCTTATCATTTGGAACTTTAATCTCCATCTGTTCTGAGACCGCCCTAGCGAAAAGGGAAGGTACACCTCCTGCTTCAGTCTGGGATTGCAGCAGAAGACAAAAAATGGCCAAATCTTAAGACACAGACCAAAACAATATTGTGAAATAGAAGAGAAACCACAACAAATGTCAAAGAAAACATAAAACCTCTGCTATGACTGTATTGATAAGCTTCTCTGCTTTCTCTATAGAAGCAAGATTTCCAATTATCTCCACCGGTCTTAAAGCTGAATTTGGATCAGCCTCTGCATCCCTCCGAATTTGGATTTTTGCACCAGAATTGATCTGAAGTTGCCGTACCATCTCCCCGCCTCTACCAATAAGTGTGCCAACCTGCCAGGTATGCCAAGAGCACATGAATGAGAGAAACAAAAATTAAGAGTTACTCACACGAGAGACAAAAAGAAAAACAAATTAAACCACCTTTGAACTCGGGACATCTATTCGGCGAGTCATGGACTGTGTCTCGTCAACCTCCTTATGAGAACCTCCACCATTTACTTCTTTACTTTCGTCACCAATCTCTTCATGAGAACCACTGCCGTTCACTTCCTTAGTTTCGTCACGGGTCTCTTTTTGGTGGTCGGAACCATCAGCATTTGCTTCCTTACTTTCATTTGCATCTTCTTTCTGAGAGCCACCATTATTGGCTTCCTTGCTTTCGTTTTCGATATCTTTCTGAGCAATGGCATCATTCGCTTCCTTACTACTGTCATCGACTTCCTTCACTTCCATACTTTGAACAGAAACTTCCTGAGAGATTGCAACCTCAACAAAAGCTGGTTGGTTATCCTCAGGCATACCATTATCAATCTTGCTTCCAGATTCCTCAACGTGAATCAGCTCCTCCAAAGTGGATTTACCAGTTCCCTCGTCCTTGGATTCCTCGGTCCTCTCCTCACCGCTGTCGTCTTTCCCAACACTTTCTTGAGTTTTCTCAATACCTACATAATAATTCCCCAACAGAGACCAATGAGAATGCATGTAACAGACGAATTCCTCAGAACAATCAAATTTACTCAAATCTGTAACGTAATACATTAATAAAAACTCTAAGAGTAACGAATCAAAGAACAAAAGTGAAGGCTTTTTC